CCTTATCTTATCTTATGAAAATGTATTTGCATCATTTTAGGATTATAACTTCCCCGGACGGTTTATCTCGTATTCTAAGTAATAAAGTTCTTCGATCAGATATATGTTTGCTTAAGCAGGCCAAACAGCTTGACCAAATTTGCTGATTTTTGGGGGAAACCCATGGGTACCCTTCAGGTAACAAATGCAATACAAATTAAAGTCTTTCGATTTTTTTTTCTTGGTAAGTGTTTTAAAATTTTACGGGCAACGACGGGCACTTCAGCTAGAACATACTAATACTATGCACCATGAAGTTGAAATATATTTTTTAATAAATTTAAACTGGGTTTGTTTACAGAGAGAAGGAGCAGTCCTGCAAGGACCAGATCATGATGTTGATTGACTGTGAGCTGGCCTACATGAACACCAACCATGAGGACTTCATTGGGTTTGCCAAGTAAGTTTGATCATCAACTCTGTCCTTGTCAACATCGTTCTAAGATAAACTGCATATTTTTTATATATTCCAGCCCCACCTTAGGAGGTTTTTGTAGGATTGGTCCCCCTTGGTAACTTTTCAACCTTGACATTGGATTTAGTCGCGGTGTGCAGTGCAGTAAATTCAGTCTGGAAACTAGACTTTTTAACAGTGCTTTTTGTTTTGATGAATTTGATGTTGCAAAAAAGTTGGATTGTATTTTCCGTTCCTAAGAATTATTGTCCTTGTGTTGAAATGTACAAACGGGAATGCTAAAAACCAAAAATTTTAAAGATTACTCTGAAAGTCATTTGAAAATTGAAGGTCAAATTTGGATCGTTCTAGATTAAGATTGTTGGAAGCAGTGCTTAGGATCCATTTAATTTTGATGCGGATCCTGGATCCGCACTGGAAAAAAATGGATCCGGATCCGATACAGGTCATTTCTTTAAGATTTACTGAATTTTTTTAACAAAAAATTATTTTCAAATTTTTATTTCATTATTTTTGCTGGTTTTTATCCTAAAACTTGATAAACCATTCAGAAATGAGGAAATTTTTATAATCTCTCTTTTTTCGAAAGTTCAGAATTGGGGTTTAGGAGTAAAAAAGTTTTTTTTTCAGTTTTTGGTTGATATTTTACCCCTTGGATCCGCATATTTTTGCGGATCCGGATTCAGGAAGCCAAAATTTTGCGGATCCAACGGATCCGGATCCGGATCCTAAGCACTGGTTGGAAGAAATTGACATTAAATTCGGATGTCTACATTTTGCTATTTTGATTTTCATAAAAGCTTCAAATTTGTTGAAGAAGAAAATAATTTGACGATTGGTTTATTAAGATCAGAGGGGCATACTTATGAATATATCCGGGCTAACCCTCCCTCTTACCCTGTTGTTTGATCCATTCACACTTTTGTTTGTTTAGTTTCATATTTCTATAGTAAACTTGAATCAACTCAGTTATTAATAAACTTTTATTATTAGTCTCCATTTTTCATCCTAATTTTGTAAGATATCTTTATGAATCCAGAGTTACATTGCACATCTATTTGTTTATGCAAGTATGGGTAGAATTTGAGTAAGATTTGAGCTACAAGAATATACATGAGAATATTTTATTATATATTATATATAGCTTTTTCTTTTTGACAAACTTCGTTTCTTAAACAATGTTTATTCTTGTAGATCAGAGTATTTTTCATTTCTCGTCAATTCGTGGATTTTATATTTTAAGTTCTAGATTTTCTATAGTTAGACTCTAGAGGAACTTTTTTAATAATCAGACTTTTCCGTTTTCTTATCTTAAGTACTTATTTTTTTATGTCACGTTTTTTTTAATGATTTGAAAATTACCGTTAAAAGTGTTATTGAAGAATGTTTGCTACGTTTGATGGTTTTTGCCCCATGAGGCTTTCTTATTTTTGGTTATATTTTATATATTTTGAAATATAATCAAATTGACGTTATTGTTAAGAGCATCAACAGTCACCTTAAAATAAGTGTTACAATTTTTTTTTTTTGAGTAAATATCGGGGTATTGAAAAAAAAGTTAAAAAATACTGTCCTGTAAGGTTCGAAAATTATGTCCCCCGGAAGAGTAAGGGAATTATTGAAAATATATACCCCCCTAAAAGTCAAATGTAGTTCCTCTTTGTGTCTAATTATGATAACTAAAAGGTTCGAAATTATATTTGTAAAGTTGAAAATGAATTTTAATTACATGTTGGTTAACGCAATATTAATTATTTGCAACTACTTTACAGGGAAGTTAAGGGAATTTTACTTTACCAGTGGTTTCCGGTTCCCAAGACTAATATTGTCTACAAAATATCCAGAGCGCGGCGAGTGATGTTTGTTGGAAAAATTGGTCGAGGGAACTTACGATTAACTAAAAAATTTTATTTCCCGAAAAAGTAGTTGTACACAATTTATCGTCTTTTGAGATGAAAATGTGCGATTTCTTGCTCACGAATACTTCACAGAGCGGTTCGTTATTTTACTTAATTTTCCCAAAGGGACGTTAGGTAACTTAACCCCCCCTGTTGGGAGAAACTCCCAACTCCCTCTGTTGGGAGAATCATGGGTAGGTAATGTTGGTCAAAAGGCGGTAACATTATTAAAGGAATTAGTTTCAACCATGAGGTGGGGAATTGAACCAGGCGACTGAAATGTAAAGTTTAAAAGTGAAGTTTTCCCCCAGACTAGAAATTAAACTTGTCGCCATTATGCTGGATATTAGTTTTGATAATTAGCTTGGAAAAATATGTTCAGATTTAATTAATGATTGTAATTCCTTTTTAAGTTTAATATCTTCTAATACTAACTTTTTAATACCTCGTTCAAAACTTCTGTCCGGAAGAGGTTGTTAAGTAATCTGCTCAAATCCCTGGTACAAAAACAAACTGCAGTTTAAACTTTAAACGTCAATATAATCCCTCAACTTATTTTATTTTAGATGCGATGATATAAGCACGGGGTAAGATTGATAAATCTAGACATGTTTGGTTCTAACTTTAGAATTTAGTTAAATACCCCTTTGCGAGGTTAAATGTGCCCTTTCTGGTTTGGATTTGTGTTTGACACTAATTCCTTTAACTAAAATTAACACTATAAAGGCCTCATTGACCAGGCAACCCATGTACTGTTGCATGCGTAGTGTTATTATTTGCTTTAAACTGGTTTTGTATTTATTTATACATTTTGTTTGTGAAGTTGTTGAATAGTTCTGCCGAGTATTCAAGAATAATTTGAAATGTTTCCGACACTGTTCTAAATCCAATTTAAGCATTTTTAAGCGTTACTTTTCCTAGAATTTCGCTTTGTTAGAAACTTAATATTCTTGACACTAAGATGTACCAAATTTTGCTAATATTTTTACAGTACAACAAATACATTTTGCTAAAATCACTGCAGTACATGAAATATATTTTACATGGGTTCCACTGCGCTGTATTTTAATACTGTACGGCGTAGATTATTATTTTTGTTTTGTGTTCTCTTTACATACTTAAATAATTGTTAACAATTTTAGACATATTTATATATGATCGATTGATTTATAGCATATTCTTATTTCAGATATGTAATATATATGCTGGATAAAGTCATAAATATTATTTCAGAAATCCGAATGTATATTTTAACCGGGTTTTCTTATAAAATTAGGTTTTACCAAACTTATAATAAGATTTCTCCAGATTAAAATACGAAAAGTTAGACCATAAATCAATATATAATATAAATATATGTTTGTTTTAAGATGCGAGTTGCCAATTTGAATATATTTAAATCATTAAAAATTTAAAAAATATTCTAAGCTTGGTTATGAAAGCCTGATTATAAAGACAATGGGAACTTATTTATTCTAGGCTAAAAAAACAAATTTCGGAAATTTTATATGTTCACGCCCTAAAGCACCAAAATTTCAGAATGAACAAAATTGCACCACTTTACGTGGAGAGGGGGGGGGGGAATAGTTTTTTATAAATACCCCGTGTAATAAAATAGGGAATAAAATGTTTGAATATTGTCAGGAAAATATCACAAGAAACATGATTTAAAAACATAAACGGTTGATAATTGTTTGCTTCTCCTTTAACCCAAATTCCTTACTATTATTTTTGCATTTTATATAAGAGGCCAGAAATTTCTCCGCTTTTGATTGAACCTTGTTTCAGTGCTCAGGCTTCCACCCAGAACGCCGAGAAGACAGGAAGGAAGGGACTGGGAAATCAGGTTGGGCATACTTTTCTAGCTATATCAATGATTTATTATTTTGGATTTAAAAATAATTCTGTCAATTTTCTTTTGCTTAGGTGATCAGGAAGGGTTACATGGCGATCCACAACCTTGGTATCATGAAGGGAGGAAGCAGGGACTACTGGTTTGTTCTAACCTCGGAGTCTCTCTCCTGGTTCAAGGATGAGGAGGTGAGATATTATATTCCAAATCTAAATCTTGCCTTGAGTATGTGACAGAATGGAACCAAGTTGAAACTTGATATTTGTATTCTACTTCTATCAAACCGTTCTCCACCATTTTACTTCTCAATGACCCAGGGGAGGGGGGGAATATTTTAGAATCATAAAGTGGTTACTGGGTTTTATAATTGAACTCTATTGAACCTTTCTGTTTACGTTTTAGTTAAGACCTCTAAACCAAAATTACTCAAAATATAATAACGTAATATTTTTGAGTCGTGAGGACATAATCAAATTCAAAATTAAATACCCCCCCCCCCTGTAGTAAACATTTTTTAGAGATCTGCAAGGGTTTTGTAAAGATAAAAAAATTTTGATCATGGTCAAATCAAATTTTGATTAAGGTTCAATCTAGGTTAGAAGTAGATTGAGAGAATTGAAAGATATGCTAAATATATTGTGATAAGTCTGCTGCTAAAGTTGATATATCAGGGTGCTGGAGAGGACGGATATTTATCAATATGACGAATCATCTACTACAGTTTTGCTGAGAAATGATAAATAACTGAAAAACTGAGTGAGAAAGTTTAATAGCAATCTCAAGATTTGTTCTTAATTTTCATGCAGTATGTTCTTAATTTAGCCAATGCGGTAAAGACTAGAGCTGAATTAGACTCGTTTACAATTAAGATTTTTTCTTCATCCCTTCCATCGTTTCTTCCCTTTTCCTATGTCTATCATAAAGTGCTTAAATTGTTCCTGTTTCATTTTAAGCCTAATGCTGAAATAAGATTAGAATTGAATAGAACTGTTAGAAGCATCTGGTTCCTACGTCTCCGCAGCCCTTATTTGTAAACAGAGTAAAATGCTAGCTTATCTAAATTAAGAGAAATCCTGGTGGATAAACTTATCTAGAACCCCTGGTTTAATCCTGGTGGATAAACTTATCTAGAACCCCTGGTTTAATCCTGGTGGATAAACTTATCTAGAACCCCTGGTTTAATCCTGGTGGATAAATTTATCTAGCCTGGTTTAATCCTGGTGGATAAACTTATCTAGAACCCCTGGTTTAATTCTGGTGGATAAACTTATCTAGAACCCCTGGTTTAATCCTGGTGGATAAATTTATCTAGAACCCCTTGTTTAAACCTGGCGGATGAACTTATCTAGAACCTCTGGTTTAATCCCGGTGGATGAACTTATCTAGAACCCCCCCTGGTTTAATCCTGGTGGATAAACTTATCTAGAACCCCTGGTTTAATCCCGGTGGATAAACTTATCTAGAACCCCTGGTTTAATCCGGTGGATAAACTTATCTAGAACCCCTGGTTTAATCCCGGTGGATAAACTTATCTAGAACCCCTGGTTTAATCTTGGTGGATAGACTTATCTAGAACCTCTGGTTTAATCCCTGGTTTGATCCCTGGTTTAGTCCTTGGTAACCCTCTCTATAGAAATCAAATTCTAATCCTGAAAAACGAAAATAAATGACTTTTTTTCTAAATATTCATTTGATGCAGTTTTTTTAGTATTCATTGATACATGGATCACAAAACCAACTTGTTACTAGTGCAATAGTAGTTCAACATCTGATCATAAAACTTGAACAGAGATATAACATTGTAAAAGTATTCCCACTTCATACACTGCTGACTTCAGAGTGCATAGAAAAAAGCATGCATAAAAAGAAATATATACTTTTTTTTACTAATCCCACCAAATCTAAAACTATAAAATTTTGAAAAATTTGCCTTGTATCAATAAATATAAATATATTTCAGGAGAAGGATAAGAAGTATATGCTCCCCTTGGATCAACTGAAACTGAGGGATATTGAGTCCAGCTTTATGTCCCGGAGGCATATGTTCGCAATCTACAATCCAGAAGGACGGAATGTGTTCAAGGATTTTAAGGTAAAATATTAATATTCACCGTACAGGGTCATTTAAATACTCTTAACAGTCAACTGACCTGTTAAATGGTGTTTATTCAGTAATCAGTTCTACAATTGAAGTCTCAAATATAATCTTTTCTAGACCCTGGATCTGTCCTGTGAGACCCAGGATGATGTGGACTCTTGGAAGGCGTCCTTCCTGCGTGCTGGAGTATACCCGGAGAAACTAAACGCGGATAGTCAGAACGGGGACGGAGAGGTAAGAGATAATACCTTGCCAGGCTGAACTCGGACCTCTCTATAATCCTGCACCTTGCAACAAAGATGCAAACTTAACAATAGTTTTTATCCTTAGTTCCAAGTTCGAATAGCCGATATGCAATTTTCTTTAAATGTATTGCTTCAACTTTTATATTGAACGACCCTTACCTGAAATGGAATATCTGTACTCCTGGTTCTATTGAATATCTGTATTCCTGGTTCTATTGAATGTCTGTACTCCTGGTTCTATGGCCGGGTTGGTTCAGGATTTTTCTTACCGGTAGGGGTCGGATAATCCTGTAGGCGGTCTGGGTTGCCCAAGATGGGGCTTCTTTCAGATCTCATCTCACATAATCACTCACATTGAATATCTGTCCTCCTGGTTCTATTAAATATCTGTACTACTGGTTCTATTGAATATCTGTACTCCTGGTTCTATTGAATATCTGTACTCCTGGTTCTATTAAATATCTGTACTCCTGGTTCTATTGAATATCTGTCCTCCTGGTTCTGTTAAATATCTGTACTCCTGGTTCTATTGAATATCTGTCCTCCTGGTTCTATTAAATATCTGTACTCCTGGTTCTATTGAATATCTGTACTCCAGGTTCTATTGAATATCTGCACTCCAGGTTCTATTGAATATCTGTACTCCAGGTTCTATTGAATATCTGTCCTCCTGGTTCTATTGAATATCTGTACTTCTGGTTCTATTGAATATCTGTCCTCCTGGTTCTATTGAATATCTGTACACCTGGTTCTATTGAATATCTGTACTCCAGGTTCTATTGAATGTCTGTACTTTAGGTTCTTTTGAATATCTGTACAACAGGTTTTATTTAATATCTCTACTGCAAGTTCTACTGAATATAAGTATTCCAGGTTCTGTTGAATATCTGTACTCCAGGTTCTATTGAATATCTGTACTCCAGGTTCTATTGAATATCTGTACTCGTTCTGTTGAATGTCTGTACTCCAGGTTCTTTTGAATATCTGTAATCCAGGTTTTATTGAATATCTCTACTGCAGGTTCTATTGAATATAAGAACTCCAGGTTCTATTGAATATCTGTACTCGAGGTGCTTTTGAATATCTGTACTCCAGATTCTAGTGAATATATGTACTCAACGTACTATCGAATATCTGTACTCTAGGTTCTAATAAATAAATGCATTCTAGGTTCTATTAAATAGATGTACTAAAGGTTTTATTGAATATCTGTACTCTAGTTTCTCCTGCCGCTAACGGTTGCGCGTTTTCTAGAATATAGTTTATAGAAATACATTCATGGCCGTTTTTGAAGTCCGAGTTTAGCCAAGGTCTAAATATCTGGGATTTGAGTTGCAATGAACCAAATAGTATTTTATACAATTTATTTATATTTATTTAATCTGAACGCAATAAAGAATCCCAGATTTATGACCACTAACAGAGAAAAAGAAAACAATTCTACTGTTATTAATTTTGCCGTGCGTCTTGTCTAGATATTGTATTGTGAAACTAGTTTCAGCTTTTTCTCGCTTTTACTTTTTCAATTAAGTTTATTGGATAAATGACCTTAGAATTTCTCTCAAGAGATTCAGAAATATGATCCAGAGACCTAACTAACACCATTTTTTTTCTTCAAAAAACAAAAACTCAGCTTATGTATTTTTTAATTTTTAACCCAAGTATTCTAATAATATTTTTTATAATGCTTAATAAACACATTGCATGGATAGAAGTGTTCCCTTATTTGTTAATTCCCTAAAAAACGCGTATAAAATATTGAATGATTAAATTGTGAAATTATGCTGAACCTCTTTGCAAAAGAAAACTTTTTTAGACGATAGTTACAGGGATGTATATTAAAATTCAAATATTCCCCAGCCCCCTATTTTAAATAAGTTATTCCCCGAAGTTACAACCAAAAAACAGTGTTTTTATACAGGGTGACACACTGAAAAAGTTTGCTGCGACTGTAGAATTTTTTTGATTTTGGTTGCATCATGTTGAATGTTGGTGCCCGTAATGTCTTTTTCCTTCTTTTCTTTTTTCCTTCCTTCACCCTGTTTCCTTCCCCTTTTCACCGTTTTCACCTTTTCCCTTTTTTTGCTTTCACTCCTTTCCTTTTTTGCTTGATTTTTTTCGCCCAACCCCTCAAAAGAGTTCATTCTTCCCCCCCCTCCACCCCCGGCAAACGGATAAATATACACCCCTGAACAGTTTATTTACACTTTTTGAATGTTCTAAGTTAAATGACATGTTACATAGAAGGAACAATGGTGGTTGTATTTTTTCTTAGGGAACAACAGTATCAACAAACCAAATCATGTCAAAGGAATTGAGTTTTTCCACAAACTCTGATTTTCTTTTCCCTATACCTAACTTTGCAACCTTCAAAGTTTGAAATACCAAAGGTTTACACAATTAGGTTGCAAAATTAAGGGATTAGAAAATTTGAGTTTGTGGCAAGGACTAAATTGCTTTGTTAGGGATTTCTGAATACTGAGCTCTTCTCTCGAATAGGTCGAGATCTTGTCGTGTCTATGTAATCTGTGATATAAGAGAACATTTTTAGTTTGAATTTACCCGCCGTGGCGTGTTTTTTTAAATCGGGGTTTTATATCACTGAATTTAAAATTATTAATTTTTCGTTTTTTGCCAGGATTCGGTAAGCGCATTCTGCTATTTTCACTTTGTAGCATAGTTATTTTTTGCATTATTTGATATGCATCCTTTTAGACTTGACTAAACAAAAAAGGGTTGTATGCAAATTGCAAGTATGAAAGTAATATGCTTGGTTTTAAGCATAATAAAAATAAATGAAGAGTGGAGCATTTATTTTCGAGATAGCAATAAAAAACAAATTTAGAAGCGGGGAGGAAAGCATAACCTTCAACCTAAATCCTTTAAATGGGATATTTTGCAAAAGAGAAAATAAAATAATTTCCCAATAAAAAAAGAACGAGTACGCAATCAAAACTATTTCGTCGTAGTGATATTAAAACTACTAAGTAACTAAACTAATACAATTTCAAAATAGAAAGTCCTATAAAGTCGTCTTTGAAGTCTTATTTATTGAGGGTGAAACATTTCTTTTAAGAGAGTGTTCACGAAAAATGAAAGGGAGTATAGGCTGATATCAAATTGAATTAGTTTTTAACTATTTTCTCCTTATATAGGCAACAGAGAAATTTAAAATTAACAGCGATCGATATCGATGTACCCTCTTTCATTTTTCGCGAACACTCTCTTAAAAGAAATGTTTCTATTTTGAAATTGTATTAGTTTTGCTTGAATTCCACTGCAGATTGTATAATGTTTGGTTCCCTTGGGGCATTCCTTTCTGTTTCTCGTTTGCATAAAATTAACTTTTAAACTTGTTTTTCTTGCTCACCGAGGTCCTGGTTAGCTACAATGTGTATCAATAAGCATGATATAGGGTTACCCACAAAGGAAGAGAATGTAAAGACGACCTTAATCTCATAATATGGCGATTCTAAGGTTGAATAAAGTCTGTTAAGGGCTATGATATTACAAAGAAAGAAACATGTTCACAGTTGAAGAGAATCGTAAATATAAGGAAACAGACCTTGTAAAGTCCGTATTGTCGGCTATGAAGTCTCATCCTTTGTGGTTAACCCTGTACAATCTTGAAACAAAAAATACAACATTTTGGTTTTGGTCTAAATTGCTCATGGAGATAAGGATTTTTGTTCAAAATTCAGTTCTCTAAATAAAATCTAACTGTTTAAAAATCATCCTATTTATGAGGGTTTTTATAGTAAACATCTCGTTATTAAATAGATATCGAAGATCAATGAGCTGTCTGTGGTCACTCAATTATTATGTTCAGTGGGACATATTGTTAACTAGTCTCCTTTTGAGGACTAGTTCAAAAATATAAAATGTTTATTGGAAGTGGATTCATGCACACACATTTGGTTATTTTTTGGTTGCACTCTTATTTTCAGAATGAAACCGATCTAGATGTTTGGTTTGAAAACATAGTTTTTTATCATCAAATTCTTAAACTTCTTGAAACTGGTTTCAAATCTGCTTGAAACTGATATCAAACCTTCTTAGAACAGGTTCTAAACCTTTTTGAATCTGGTTTTGAACCTGCTTTAAAGTGGGATTAATCCTGATTAAACCTAGTTTTAAACTTTTTGGAATCGTGTTTGAAACCTATTTTATCCTGGACCTGAACCTGCTTGGAACTGATTCTAAACCTATTTAAAACTGGTTCTAAACATATTTGAAACCGGTTTTTAACTTGTTTGAAACTGGGACTTTAAAACTACAGATTTAAAAAGCTGGTCTAGCGATTATGCTCTATTCTGTTGTTCTTAACTTTCTTCACATTTGCATATGTCTATTGTCTAGATGCATATTTTAAAATATATTTTTTGAAGATTTGCATGCTTTGTTTGTATAGTTCTGTTAAATATTAATACAAAATACGTTGATTCTGTTTTAAAGCCTCAAATCATTGGGTTTGTTTACATTCCTACTTTTAATTACTCTATCATCGAGCAAACATTACTTTTATAAATATTTGAGATATATTCTATTGAATTTAAAGTATGATGATAAAAAAAATTTTAAGAAGACATTAACATTAAAGAAAAGACCAAGGGAAACTCCCAATCTTGTGAACAAAGATTTGTGGGTTTCTCGTGTACGATCCTAAGTTTATTCATAGATTTATTACAAATTAGAAAATGCATGGAATTTTCTTATATAATTTTGAACTGGTAACTAACCAATATATGCTGTCTAGAAGTTTAAACAAAATTTCAGCTTGAAACTTTTAAACAACTATACTTAGGTATAGTGCACTAGTTCAACTGTTAATTAGTTTTTTAGGCTAAACTATTGTATAATCTGAGGCCGAATTTAAAGAATTTAAATTTGAGACTCGACTCAAATATTGTTGGTTTCACTTAAAATTATATTCAATGTTTCAAGAGTTAAACCGACGTGCAATTGAAGCCGGTTTTTGGCGGATTTGAGACGCGGCTCAAATTCATTAAATTCGGACTCAGATCATTTGTTTGTTTTACTAACTTTGGTTTTATATTGCAGGAGCGGGTAAGTCGTCTTCACTTAGGATCTTTGCACAGTCTTCGACACTAGGGTTTGGGGAGTGTGTCGGTTGTGGTGGTTTTTTTTAAGGGTTTTATTCAATATTTTGCTCATTTGCCACCATTTGAATATATTCATTCAACATTTTTGGACTATTATTTAGCTTTAACTGAAAAAGTTGAGATCGGCGAGACAGCTATTATGAAACTTAGCTATAGCTAAAACATTCTATTTTGAGGCTTTAGATAACGTTAATTCGCTTGGTAGATGCATTACAGATAATAATTTTAAAATGATACGCATCACGCAGTGCTTAGGATCCTTTAATTTTGATTAGGATCCGGATCCTGAATCCGCACTGGAAAAAATAGATACGAGTCCAGGTCATGAACATTTCTTAAAGATATACATATTTGTTTTGACAGAAGAAAGATGTTCAACTATTTTTATTTTTTATTCAGAGATCTGGAAATTGTTAATAATCTTTTTTCTTCAACAATTCAGATTTGGATTTTGAGAGCAAAAAGGTTTCTGTTTTGGCAGTTTTTGGTGACAATTTGACCCTTGGATCAGGATCCAGATCCAGAAAGCCAAAATGGTACGAATCCGGATCCTAAGCACTGCAGATGCGGCACCTTCAGATTTCTCGCTTGATTTCACACCTTTTTTACTTGTGGTTAAGTACTAAGTCAGAAAAAAATATTTAAACGTTTTAAAATGCACACAGCAGTATCCAATGTTATTTAGTATACCTCATTTCTTTTCATCTTTTATTGTAAATTGAGGCAATTGTGTAAAAATATGTTTTCTGTCCGTTTTTGTTTGTTATAAATTCGTTGCTTGGTAGCACTTTAAACAAATGGGAAAATTTAAAAGTTTAATAAATAATTCTAAAACTAGCAATAAATCTGCTTGAACTTCAGCAGAAGGAAACGAAATACCGGATGGTCGGAAATATTTGTGAATATCCGGTTGAATACATAAAAACTTCAAGTTTTCTTAAAGAAAAATTTTCTTAAATAAATCCCTGCTCGAGGTTATTTGTTAGAACTAATTTGATTTGTCTGGTCAGAAAAACGTCTCGTGTCTAATTTGTTCTGGGCTAAGTTAATATTTTCTCCAAAATTAACAGACTACGTTTTAACCCTGAAAATGAAATTATTTAACTGTCTATGTCCCAGTTTCATTTATGTATAAAAAAAAGAATTTTTCTATTTTGTCCATTTGGCTTTTATTTCATAATTAATATAATATTCAGGAACCATTTTAGTAATACTACAATTCCAAGAACTGTGTTATATTCTAAAATGAATTATTGTAATCTTATCGGTCCTATTTTTCTAGAAAATAACTTGGCTAATGCGAGAATATTATCAATTGAAAGTTTTCCCAAATTTTAAAATTGCAATAAAGAAATCGATTTATTTGGACTTTGGGCATAGACGGTTTATTAAGTTTTCTTATATTTACTTCTGGGATGATTAGTCCTAACGTGAATATTTATAATAGTCTGCGGACGGAGGGTTAGGATCGGTTGATCCTCAGCTGGAGAGGCAGGTGGAGACCATCAGGAACCTCGTGGACTCCTACATGAAGATTGTGACCAAGACATGTCGGGATCTTGTTCCGAAGGTTATCATGTACTTGATGATCAATGACTCGAAGAACTTCATCAATGGTGAGCTGCTGGCCAACCTCTATGCAACCGGAGATACGGTAAGTTGATACTGTAATAAAAGAGGAACTAAACACTTGGCATCAAAATAAAAATTTTCTAACCCTTTATCTTGGCAACCTGATGGTGTATTCCTTAGATACTGCAAATTTCAACTTATTCTTAAGGTCGGAACCTTGAATGCTTGAATGCTTTATCTCGATATCTTATATGGACACTTGAAAATTCAAGGATTAACCCTTGATCTCTCAATTAAAGTTATCCCTGATGCGGGGTACGGCCACTACGGAATATTAATCTGCATAAGATGGAGATGAATGCTTAACCCCGAGATTTACAACACAAAAGTTCTGACTTCAGATCTAGCATCATTGATATTTTGATATTACTAAAGTCTACGACATAGGGGTTTCAAGATACAAGGATTAAAAAGTTAAGGGTTGGATGAAAGTTTTCAGTGCTTTTAGTATTTTTAGCTAAATTAAGAGATTTATGCGGTTAAAAAAGGTATTTTATGTTGCAAGTGAACCTTTAAAAATCTATTTTTAAGGTCTATCATCTCTTCTTCTTTATGATTCTAAAGAAAACTTTTTAAAGAATAATAAATCTATTGTAGAATTAAATAACTAGTATTTTCCCGGTTTAGAACTCTATGATGGAGGAGAGCGCTGACGAGGCCATTAAACGTGAGGAGATGCTCCGTATGTACCATGCATGTAAGGAAGCTCTGAAAATTATTGGAGATGTCTCGACCGCAACTATCGGAGGTCCTACTCCAGCTCCCAGCAGAAATATTGACTGGATGCCCCCTGCTACGTAAGTAGAAATAAATACAAAAATATTTATTACATTGTTACATCACCAATATTCCTATTTCTTGTTGAATGTTTAGATCCTACAGCCAACCTCAAACGTCTCCAGCAAATCCCAGGAAAACAGTTCCACCTCCGGTTAGCCGTGGACCTCCCCCCGCCCCAACTAGTAGACCAGCACCATCTGTGCCTGGACGCCCTGGTGGCAGTGCTCCGCCTCCCCCAAGCAGGCCTGGAGGAGGAGGTGGTCTACCAGCCCCTCTTATACCTTCGTAAGTTTAAAATATTTCCTTATCAAACCTTGAAAATAACCAGGCAGCTTGAGGCAGATTTAGTATCTTTTAAAACTTTCAGAACTTGGTCGTTAAATCATTTTAATTTCTTCCGATTTCTTCCGAACAGAATTTGAATAAAACGAAGTTTTTATATCATGAAAAAAAAAATACTTTTAAATTTGTTCCTAACAGATTGTACGGCAAATGTACTTTACTGCCTCTGGATGAAATTTAATCGTAATATTCCAACATTATTCTTATTCCATCCTCGCCATGTTCAATATTCTCGTGATACAAATTGGAAAATGAGTTAACGACAGAGTTCTCAAGATGCTCTGAAACCTTGCACAACCGGTCCAGTAACCATGAGAGAGTTTATCAATGGGACTGATTTGTAACGATGCAGATCCAATTACTGGGATGGACGGGGGGGGGGGAGGGGCAATGCACAATACAGGCTAATTTTCTTTCATACATATATAAAACTAGATTTCGATTTGAATTTTATCAACTTATATCTGAAGTTAAGGATTGGTTGTGCTGGGTTAAAAGAGACGGGGTGTGTGAATTGTGACTAACTTTTCATTTTTACTAACATATCTTGGGTGTTTTACAAGTAGCAACATATCTTGGGTGTTTTACAAGTAGGAACATATCTTGGGTGTTTTACAAGTAGCAAAATGGAAAATTTCGAACAAAAAAATACTTTTTATTAACCTTATATTTTTGCTGCTTGGAACGTGTAGACGTCGATAGATGCCGAAATTCAATTCCTAAACACATTTTATCCATTCCATCAAAACTTGTCTTATGGATTTTCTACTTTTCCTGCTGCTCAGAAGAATGGCGGGAAATGCTCAAGCTGCGGTTGGTTCTGCAGTTGGTGCAGCTGTTAACAAGGCACAAAGCGCCGCTGTCCAAGCTGCCACACAAGCTGCTGCTAAAGAAGTTGAAAAACAAATGTCAAATGCCTTTAGTGCTGCTTTGGGCGGTAGAAAATTTTAATTCCATAATAAGGCATTTTAGAAAAATAAATCCTACGTGTTATAGTGTTAAAGAAAGACAGCTAGCTCGTGAAAATTAGGCTAGTCAAGTCAAACGAAGCTTCAGACATTTTATCCTATGTTAAGAACTGTTTTCCAAGCGTGTATCTTCTATGTTTTATTCTATAACCTTACACTTCCATATTTCATGTAAAACTTTGCACTTCTGGATGAATTGTATCCTGTGCTAACTAGAGAAAACGAATGCATTTGAAAAAGAAAAAATATTCAAATTAATTTAAGTTATATCGAATTAAATTGCGTGAATGTTTAAAGATTCCAGTGAGTGAAAACATGTATGAAAATTAAGATTGTGCTCCATTTAACCAGTAATAATATTGTATAATTAAATTAAAACTTAGCATTATATTCTCGAGTTTAAGGGAAGCTTTCAAAAGAAAGCTAAAGGGGTTAGATAAACGGATTATCCAGAGGGTTGGGGTTAGATAAAAGAATTAATCCTGTAGAAGGTTGGAGTTAGAAAATTCTTTTGAACGCTTCTCTGGCCCAGGAAACTGTTGATTGTTAAATAATCTACAATAAGTTTAACAATTGTAGGAATTATTTCTTAGAAATAAAAATAATATACTTCAAGTTTTTTCCAAGTTATCCTGAATTCGAAATTTTCTCGAGGTTTCAAAGGCTCCATTTTTATCGCAAAACAAAATTCTCATGATTTTATGCAATTAAACAATGCAAGCTTAGGATAATAGTTTCAAGTTTGTAAGCTCCTGTAAATATGAAAATGCATTTCTGATGTCTTGAGACTTAAGTTTTGCACTGGAGGGTCACAAGAAATATTGAAGGTTTCTCAAAGTTAAGAGTTTATCGATGTTTTAACTTTTCTTCTTTATATTGAGAAAAATAGACTTAGATAGAGAAGGGTTAGGCAATTTTGTAGGAGGAGGCTGGCTGTTAGGAAAAAGGAGGATGGAGTAGGAAAGTGGGCACCTTGGCAGGAGGAAAGGGGTCTAGGTGAAGGAAAAGTTTTGGGCAGGAAGAAAAGAATGGAGGAGAAGGAAAAGTTGTGGGCAGGAAGAAAGGAATGGAGGAGAAGGAAAAGTTATGGGCAGGAAGAGGAAGAAAGGGAATGTAGCAGAAGGAAGATTTTTGAACAGGAAAAATGAGGATAGAGCAGGAAAAAGTGGTAATTATTAGGAAAGAGAGTGACCTTATTGGTAAATACTAAATGAAGACTGAAACAAATAGAAAACAGTGTTTGAGACCCTCTTAACACTTAAATCAAAGTTTTTTATAAATGTTTTCTCATGTTCATTTTATAAAAAAAGTAAGTATTTTTCCATTAATGTTAATCCTACGTATATTTTTACCCTTAGTTTCGCTTCATATATCTTAAGTTCATGTACAATTCTGTGTACACAAGTTCTTTATCTATAATGTACGTTATATACTGTATAACTCCTGTTCTCTGTATCATGAATGTTACACCCTGCATTTAAGGACTGTAACATCTTCATATATCTTTTATTCTGCAAATATACAAGCCTTATATCCTCTGAAGTAAGTCCTGTATTCGGATTTTTTTCTGTGATTCCCTGTATCCGAAATAGGTGTCCACTGTTTTCTAAATTGTTGTGCTCGTTTTTGTCAAATTAACAGCTGTCATTGAATTTATAATTGTAAAGGTCCTATTTATGCAAATTGTATAAGACCTATACATCCCAAGAAAGCTAAATAAACCTATTTATATTATAAGCCCATGTATCTTTAATAAGCATATACCTAATATAATTATTCCTATTAAAACATGTATTTTGATTAAGTCCTCTGTATCCTGTACAAGTCCTGTGTGTAAGTCTTGTATCTTATATTCTGTAAAAGCCCTGTTTCTTGTGTAGGTTCTGTATTTTAATAAAATTTCGATTTCCTATACAAGCCATGTATCCTGTACACTGTAAGCTCCGTACCCTGTATCATGTACAAGCCCTGTATCCTGTACAAGTCCTGTATCCTGTGTAAGTTCTGTATCCTGTGTAAGTCCTGTATCTTGTGTAAGTCCTGTATCCTGTGTAAGTCCTGTATCCTGTGTAAGTCCTGTATCCTGTGTAAGTCCTGTATCCTGTGCAAGCCCTGTATCCTGAATAAGCCCTGTATCCTGTATGTGTCTGTAAGGATTGTTTTATAGATAATAATATCTTGAATATTCTAATATTTCCTCTAACAGCTTGCTACCCCGCATGGTATATTAGTTTTCTTATGCTTGCATTAACATATACAATATATATGCCTGAAACCCTTGTACTATGTGTGTCTGTTTCTTCATATTATTCGTCTCGTCTTGATGTCTAGAAGATGGGTTAATGTTCCTGCTGCTCAAACTATCTCGGGATCTCCATCCTCTCGTCCCTCCTCTCCAAATCCGTCCCTTGACACATATTCGTCTAGTTCTTCTCAGGGTTCTAAGAAACCCAGCACAGTTCTAGCAGGGGAGAAATCTGAAACCTTATCAATAAAACGGGAGGAGGTGGTGAAAGGTGTTATTATCAAGGGAATAGTTTGCAATCCTAAAGAAAGAGTAAAATCCCGGTCAAATTCTTTAAACCCTTTCGAGACTAAGAGGACTGCTCCCAAACCTCCAAACCGATAGGATGGAATACTTGATTTAGATGACAAATTTTATTTAGTTAGTTTTATAGTTTAATTTTGATATATTTTTATACGAAATACAAAATATTACTGAAGATTCAACCTTTGTTTTTTTCTGCACCGCATGAGATTTTCTTCTTTAGTATATATTAGTAAAGCCTTGTTGCTCAAGACGGTTTTGGTATTTATAATTTTACTAATTCTGAATGTTTGCTCGATGTTTTATAGATAGATTAGGGAGGCAAATGGTAATTGTTTAGTCAAAAAATTTTAATACTTTCATTTTTGTTGTTTTTTATTAATCATTTATGCTTTTAAAATTTTGACGTTTCAATGATTGACAAAAAGCGTAAAAGTTAAAAATAAATTAAATTGTAAGAAATGGAAATATGTGCTAAGTGCAATATCGTGGATATACAAGGTTACCCGTAAAGAATGAGATTTAAGAAGACCACTGTTTACTAAGAATTTATTCTTATTTTTTTATTCTCTCTGCCTTATTATAAAAATTGGAAATGAAAAAAATCTATATTGAGGTAGCGACAACGGACAAGGTATCTTGCACTGTGGGAAGCCTTGAAATATATCAAAATTAAATGTAGTGTTCAGAATTGTGTTCACGAAATGTCTTGTTTCGAAATGAAATTTCGACCATACCGAGTTTGGGCAGTTTGGCAGTAATTATTTACATACGTATCTAACATCTAGTCTGTATCTGTGGGAAGTGTGGATGTCCTATGTAAAAAATATTTTTATACAGAGCGTCCCAAATCATTATCTCAAAGTTTTAAGGCCAAAATGCGGACATAGTACTCGAACAACCTGGAACGTAAGTTAATTTTTATATTAACCTTACACATTTTTTATAAATGATTCATTCTTATTTATTTTTCTGGTGGGACACCTTGTGTATATAATAACAGAAATTGTGGACTGATGATAGATTCAGATTTTTCATAATTTTTATTTCATATTACTTGCCTTATAAAAATTGCACATTTTAATTTAAATTTTATTTTCAAGAAAGAATTCTTTTTAATCAAAATTGGAATTTACACTTTTTCGTGATTCCCAACACTATGCTCATTTAGGGAGGGGGTGCAGAGCATTTATGAGCCCCGCAAACTGACTTCCGGAGCCTCATGATTCGAAGATTGGCCTCCTAGCCAATCAAAATCGTCTGCGAGCCTCGTGCTACGTTTGCCAGGCTTCCCAACTTTGTTTTCACGTCCAGTAATCCGATATATAATAACAAATATTTGGCCTCTATGTCCCCCAACAGCTTTTTTTTAAATCTCAACATGATGTAAAGCTTTTATGGAACATAAACAATTTGTACTTTTAGTACTTTTATTGAGATTTAGACTTCTTTTTTTTTGTTTTTCTTAATTTCAAAAATTCCTAATCTTGTGCATGACAATTGCAGCTTTATATAAAGATTGGCTCGGAGGCCATTCTGCGAATCAGGAAGCTCCTGAGATGGTCTGCACCCCCTCCCTCGTTCATTAAATGAGATTTTTCCTATTCAAATCGGATTAAGGATTGAAAACTTTTATTGACTTGATTAATTTTCAAATATCTCAGTTTAAATAAAGATTTAAAGAATTTCCATTTATCCTCATGGAAATATTTTACCATAGCTATGACTCGAGGGAGGAGGTGTATGGCCGCCACGAGCCCTGCGCAATAATCGCCAGAGCTTCTTGAAACACAGAATGGCCCTCAAGCCCCGCGAAATCGTTTCCGCGCCTCTCGCTACGTCTATAAGCTTCTGCTATTCTGTCCCATGCCCCACATTTTGGTCTCCAATAACAGATATTTGGATTTATCATATTTAAAAAACTTTTTTGTCTAACAATCTAAACATGATAAAATGACACAAACAATTTGTATTGAAAAGTCTATTTTAATTGAGATTAAGACTTTGTTTTCTATTTTTTCTAAATTCCTAAACCTGAGAATAACTACTGCAATTTTGTGTATCATGTGTATCATGTACAATTCAAACTATACGAGCACCAATTCACAAACCAAAATGGTTTTTGTGAAATACTTGTATTTGTGCTTTTATGGGAGGCCTTTACACACACAAAAGTTATGATCAATTAAATGAATTCATATTTGAAATTTGTGAATTTTGATTCTTTGAGCTATTTGTGAGTGTACTTTTAAGAAAAATATTTTGATTATTGGTTGGTTAAATCATAAAATGTAAATAAAAAATAAAAACATAAAGCGAATATAAAAATGCAAGGAGCGGAGACAGAGTGGCAAGAGACTTGGAGACGTAGCGAGAGTCACGCAGTCGGATTTGCCAGGCGTGGAAGTAATTTTGCCTATCAGGAGGCTCCGGAGGTCATTTCACGGGGCTCATGGCGGCTCTACCCCCTCCCTCATTCTTATCATTAAACTTTAGCAGCACGTACAATAGGGGGATAAAAAAATTGTTCACTATTTCAAAAGGTTCCCCCCCCCCTGGTTATCCTCATAAAGCTGAAAACGTCCATTTTCCGGGAATTTTCACACACTTCTACACAAATCGATTTTGAGGGTGGTAACGATTTTACCCCTAGCCCTCCTTTCCCCTAACCCTTAGCCCTTCTTACTCCTAGCCCTCCTTGCCAGGGAATCTGTCGATTTTTTTACCCACCCTCCACCTCCATGACGTACATTGTAGGGCATAAAAAAGGAGTCGGTACAAAACGCCCGATGCATCAAAACGCCCAATGTAACAAAACGCCCAGTTACAAAACGTCCAATGTTACTACAAGTCCACATTTTATGTAAAAAATTCAGTCATGTTCGATTTTTTTTCAAGAAAATTTGCAACTTTTCTGTTTCATGGAGTCTCGCGCTGCGGCCAGAAGTTCAAATACATTTCATTTAAACTTTCATTTCAAAGAGAATACTTGGCGCCGTTATAGCGCCTTCAGTGTTCAAGTTACATCTTTACGAGTTATGAAAATAAATATCTTCACTTTGATTTGGGAA